CCCAAATCCCTCTAGCCCCACAATAACTCACAGGCTTGCATAAGTTTCAAACCATTCCCAAACTCATTCTGCAAGATAAAAGAATCCTCCCCACGTAAAAGAAAGACAGTGAATGAATGTGAAGAGGAACATAAAATTACTAGAAAACACAAGAGGAAGCAAGGACTGGCAAATATCAAGTTTCAAGACAAGGGTCGTCACTCGTCAGATGGTTATGCAGGGATTTGGGGGTATCTTAATTGCTTGAGCAACATGACGTATGATAGCTGCCCTATAATGGCATACCAAAGTGGATCCAGTGAGAAAAATCAGTAACCAACTTGACTCAGATTGGCATTAAACTCAGATTCTCAGAATATTTAGCTTCATATAGCTGAACCAGACTTTGACAATGTGGGCTTAGATTGATTGGAAACATTATACTCTTGCAATGTATGGAGTGTCATGGGACAGAATTTGGGTACTAGCTGAAGAAAGAGTCTCATGGTGATTTTTTCTGGTGGAAAAGGTTAATCTGGGAAGAGTGGAACAATGTTTTAACTGCATATTCCCAATTTAGTCATGCTCCTCCATATAAACCTTCCAAACCGTCTTATGCATTTGAATGTAAGTTCTAGTTCAATGAAATCATCAAATTATTTACGTTTTCCTTTTTTTCTCATTTTCTTAGAATACAGTGGGATTGGGAAGGGCAGGTTTTAGGGGGATAGCACCGGATTACCTGCCAGCCTACGCCACGGCTGAGTATCGATGGTGGCATGGGAGTGGCACTTGCATATCTTGCAACTGCAATAAAAGCACCAGTGGACTGAAAATACCAGAAAGCACAACCAAGAAAGAAATTAGCTTCAGGCCTATAACTTACCAAGCATAAAAATATCCTTGCTCGCTGACAAGGAAAATTTTGGAATGAAATTAAAAAACTGATAAAGAAGTTTAAGGGAAAGGCAGAACAGCGCAGGGAGAATAAGAAAGCAAGAGACAGGAGTAAGCTGAGAAGCAACTCATATGCATCTAATCCGACAACCTCAGCATCATTATATCCATTGTACCCTAATGGAAGCAAAGAGCACACTATAACAAAGCCAAAGCAATAACAAAAGGAGCAACGTAGACCTAAAATATTTGCAAATATGACAGTATAAGACAGGCAAGAGAGGGTAGCTCGGGCAGAAAGCATCCTTCACATTCACCTTGAGGTTGAGGAATTTGAGTCAACAAGAGAGCGAAGTGCAAAAGTACCACTATTGACTCTTGGGGAGAGGGCAGGGCTGGGGTAAAAGATATCAGTTACCATATCGATAAGATAGTTATTAACAATATTCAATGTGACAAACCTCTACAAGAGCAACAAATGTAGCCATCATCATAGCAAATGCTTCACCAGCATCAAATGAAGGTGCTCCCCACTGAAAAGGGTATGGAACTCTAATCCTGCAGATACACAGAAGCAAAAGATGAAGAGAAAATTATTTTTCTTGAAAGACATTACATTTGGAGACAGTTGCTAGAATAATCGTGTTTTGGGCTAGACGTTTATTGAAAACAAAAAGTAAGCTGGAAATCATTAAATAGTCCAAACTCAACTGAACCCCTAACAATTACTTCCGGCACATTATGAAAATATTACAACAATTCAATAAAGTAACATCTATTAGATCAATGAGTTAGTGCTATAGCAACATTAAAAAGAAAGTGAAAGAAAAAAAAAGAAATAGTAAAAATTATAGCAGTTTTACAACAAACAAAAATAATTTTACAATGAGAAAATGAAATACCATAAGATATATGGAATTATTTAAAACGTACAGCAAGAGAAAAGGAAGAGAAAATAGTTCTCCTTCTAGCCCAACTCAAAAATATTTGATACAAGTTCATCTCTTTACAAGCTTCACAACTCACATTCATTATCAACTTTTAAAATTTGATGTGATAAAAATATTTCAACAACTGCTTTAATTTTTTGTTCCAATATTACTAATTGAATATGTAAGTCAACTTTAACATCTAAAACTTCTAGCCCAAGCAAATATCGTTAAATGAAACAAGGCAGTATATCTTGTTTTATATAACATCGTGGAGAAAGGAGGGCCAAAGTGAATGAATCTGGAAAAGAAGAGGGTTCAGCAGGAAGAATAAGCTAATCCATTTTTTCTTGGGTTTTCTAGAAAACTGAAAACAATTTTCATTATCTTCAGTTCTTATGAGTAAGTTTCAGGTTTTGGTTTTTGCAAAACCCAAAACTGTTATCTATTCAAAACGTTTTTTTTTTTTAAATTTGGTTTCTAGGGAAGTGAAGGGGAGTCTTGGAACAACTGTAAAGTTGTCTCCGTGTGACTTATAGGTCACGGGTTCGAACCGTGAAATCAAAGCCACTGATATTTGCCTCGGAGCAGCTGCCTACATTACACCCCTTGGAGCGCGGCCCTTCCCCGGAACATGAGTAAACGCGGGATGCTTCATGCACCGGGCTGCCCTTTTTTTTGGTTTCTGGGGAAGTATGTTGGAAAATGTTTCCAACCCAACAGTCACCCACTTACCTTGGAATAAAAGCATCATTTAGACGCACTGATGGAAAAAGCAAGTAGAGCAAAATGCACATTGACGCTTAAACAAATACTACTAAACAAGCTTTGCCTCTAACAATAGTGCATCATGTGCCAGGACGATGAGCCCATCAGTGGAAAGATAAAGTGAAGAAGAGAAGTGAATTTGTTGTGTGCTCAAGAATAACTATTAATCAACTATGCCTCAATTCCAATTAGTTGGGGTCGGCTTATAGGATTTTTTAACCAGACATCAACCTACCGCAACCCACTAATTTATCCAAGCTTGGGACTGATTGTACTTTGCCGAGCTCGGCAATATGGACTTTGCTCCAAGGATTATAGAAAAAAATATACAAATATATCAATACCCTAAACAATTTCCGAAATGTGCAACAACTATAGAAAGCAACCCATGCAGTCTTAAACAAGGAAATCAGATTGATGAATTTCAGATATCCCGCAGTTTTTTTTACCTTGTACATTTTTTTGTCCCATTACATATACGCTAATTATGCTGTGTGCAAGAACAAATGGCAACTAGCGAGCATAGGCATTTCTTCGTTGTCCCTAAAGGTGATGGAAAAAAAGCACTAGAACTCAAATCCCCTAGAAAGTCATAAAAGAAGATAACTTACCAGGGAGCACCACTAATAAGTCCAGCCCGATCAGTTCTGCAGCTTATCTGTGTCTTTTGTGGCTTCCCATTATAAGCCCCACCCACAGTAAGTATGTATGCATAAATCCATACAATTGCTACCGTGAAAAGAACAGCAAAGCGATCAAAGATATTCTTTCCTGGTTTTATCAGATGAGCCAAATACTGCATTGACCAACCAAATTTGTTTATTTTTTCATATCCAATTATGCATTCCAGCATAAAACAATGCGTAATAGGAAAATTTGACTTCCAAAATAGCATCCTACCTGAGAGAAAATGACCAAAAGGACTAGCTGTGGCAACCCAACTTCAACACATTTGGCAACCTAAAAAGCGAAGATGTATTACACTTTAACAGACTCAGAAGCAACAAAGTCCCATGGACACCCAAAGAGAAAATAGTGTAATATGCTATAAAATTGATACTTCAGGATCAGGCGAGGTTGTATACATACCCCAGGAAAACCAAACTCATAAAGCCCAAAGCCAACAAGAGATATCAAAGGAACAGCTGAAAGGGGGGTCAGAAACCTATGAATCCACAAAATATAAAATGTTAATATAGCTAGTTTCCACAGTATCTATATAAATCCTTTGCCATGAACATGCAGACCTCAAATCAGAAAAGGTGATCTTAGGAGCTTTTACTTGATCTACTAGTATGGAGGAACACTACACAGAGTGCAGAAAATTATGTCACCTCATCAAAATGATGGATGAAGGAGAAGGTACTACAGGAGAATAATGATGCAGATGCATGGAGAAGCACAATTTAAAGCATCAATTATGCTATAGGTAATGAATAATTTAGAGCATGCTCACACATTTGCTGACACTGACTAACCTTACAACGTTGCGCCAGAGTCCACTGAAGCCCAGGACAATTTGAAGCGTTGAAGCAACAATAAGTGCACCTTGGGTAGCTCGCATTATCTTCTTGAATCTCTGATGAATCATAGGAAATGTTTACAATCAATAAGCACCAAATAGCACCAAGATGCAATGGATGAGTCTCGTAATATCTCACTGTCTCTCCACATGTCTTCCCACCCATTAGAGAATTTACAGGAATATACACCAATATGGATCATAAATGAAAAAATAAGTAGTTTGTTTATAAATAATTATAAAATAGCTCTTATTTTCTCCTTTTCCAGTTAACTGTTGAGATTCAGTATGTATTCACAGAGAAGACAAATACAGTGCTTGAAGAGACCAACCGACACAGGGTCTGGGTCCTCCCAACGACCAGAAAGGATGATTGAAATTGTAGGAGCAACAAAGGTGTAGGACCCTCCAATCACAGCAGGCAGCCTAGTCCCAAAGAAACTCTGCAACAAGGTGTTCAGCCCGGCAACAAATAGCAATGTCTGGATAACTTTTGCTTTTTCCTCCTGCAAAAGGACATGCATTATTTCATATAAAACCCGTAACACTGCTTGACTTCAAAATTAGTCATGGGTTAAGTAGTTAAATAGGCTATTCTGTTGAGTATTCTCACATTTCCACCTCCCATTTGGGGAACCAGAGCCGTAGGAATGATGACCGTTGTACCAAGCATAACAAGATAATGTTGAAACCCAAGAAGGATAGCCTCAGCTGCATTCCAACAATTAGGCAAAAATCAGCAGAGTACAAAATCTACATTATGGTGAAACTGATTCTTAAAAACAAAGTTTTTTTGATGAAATTTAAAAATGTTACTTAATACAGAGAAGTGCTACTCTTTGCTCAAGTGTAATAACAGGAAAAGAAGTACAAATTACTTTATGGATTAAAGTTTAAATCAGCCACCAAAATAATAGGCCATACAATCAGCCTACTAGCCAAAAACACTCTTGAACAAGTTGTGTGAGATTTTCATGTGAGACTAGTTATTGGGACGATAAAAGCATAATATGTAAATCTAAAATTGAAAAAACCTTCAGAGATACAGAAGGCAAAAGAGATTCCATTAACTCGATTTTATACTTAAACGCTGCTGAAAGAAAATAATTCTACTCTTTACGAGCTAGAACAGGAAAAAGGAGGGCACATATGGGAAGCTTTTCCCATATCTGACCAGTTTCGAGATCTTATTTCGCCAACAGAACACATATACACCACAAACCCAGCACATAACATGACCTACACAATTAGTCCCTGATTTGAAAAGTATATCAGAAGACGAAAAAAATCCTATATTCACTAGAGCAAAAGGCATTAGTATGAAGCAATTCACACCAGTGAGCTAAACTTGGTTCAGCAAAATCAGAACCCACATACACCTACCATGAAGGAATATAAATATTAATCAATCAATTAGAAAAACTGAAATACAAGGGTATATAAATTAGGCTATACAAATTATCTATAAAGGGCAGCCCAGTGCACTAAGCTCCCGCTATGCGCGATCCAGGAAGGGCCGGACCACAAGGTCTATTGTATGCAGCCTTACCTGCATTTCTGCAAGAGGCTGTTTCCACGGCTTGAACCCGACCTTCTGGTCACATGGCAGCAACTTTACCGGTTACTCCAAGGCTCCCCTTCGTACAAATTATCTATATCCAGTTTATTATTATTGAATTATTTTTATGTTGACGGTCAATTTACCACCACTCTCCTCCATCACCTGGACTTGGCACATACACAGAGTTAAGGAACATACAAGGTAAAAATAGTACTTAAGAAAGTAGATACATATTAGGTTCCTCAAAGAATCTAACACTACTCCCATCAAACCTAAAACAGTAAAACATGAAAGCAAAAGAATATAGTGAGTTAGAAAGAGAGGTATAGACTTACGCCATGGGGGAGGACTAGTAATACAGTAGGAAACATTAGGAAGCTGATCTTTAGTTGGATGTGGCGCTGGGTCATCTGATGATTTTGCTGGAGCTGCTCCTCCACCTGCCATTCTTTCCTCTTTCTCTTTCTACAAACTTAAGCAACACACTGTATGTAATACTACTATTATTCTCCAACAGTATACACTAAGAATCTATTCACTACCCAGATCACAAATCTTTCAGAAATAAAGACTCAAACTTTTTGGTTGAAATTTGGAGTAACCAGAAAGCACAAATGCTATGACAAGATTGGAACAACAAACCACATGTTATTGTACCATATACCTACTTATTATAACTTTCTTTATGTAAAAAGAGAAAAAAATATATAAAAGCAAGGGTTAAGAAAATAAAACTGTAACAGCTAGTGCTTGCCAGTGTAAAAGGATAGAAAGTGTGTACAGAAATGGTAATTATTATTATTATTATTGATAGCTAGGAAAACTACCTTCTTGTAAATAAGCTTTTGGAGCAACCTCAAGTGTGTGTGGGGTACTAAAGGCAATAAAATCCTAGACCCTACTTTAAATTAAATTCAAGAAAATGGGGTTTAGAGAAAAGAAAAAAAGTGAACTTTATAGAGGATGCTATTTTGCTTTTGCCCCAAGTGCCAAAAGAGAGAAAAGGAAGTCTAGAAACAGTATATTAGCATTTGAAGATAAAAAGATTGAAGATTGGCCCACCAACTTTGAACACCTCTGCTTTTTCTCCCATTTCTCTCTCTCTTAATAAATAAATAAATAAATAATAGTAGAAGAATCTTGATCAGACACATTAATTAACGGGGCTAAATTTGTTTAATTAGGCTCCAACATACATACCCCTCCTGAGGTGCTAATATGTCAAATAAGAATTACTATATCAATGGAGTAATAAAATGACCTTTTTTAAATTGTCGTTTTACTCTTTCTGTTGGTTAGTTCACATGAATTGCCCAAATTATTGCACTACTGTTTTCACACACACATAATAATATAAGACAAAAGAAACTCAATTGAGTATCAATAGTCAAGAAACTACTGAAATTCGTATTTATGATACTTCATTTCCAATGGTATATTTCGATCATTAGATTATACCTTTTTTAGTTTTTGTCAGCAAATAAAATAGTTCAGATAGGAAAGCTTTTATTTGTCTGACCCTTTCCTAGTCTTGCATATAACGGGAAGTTAGTATACCAGGTTCTCTATTATTTATTTTAATATGACGGATTTGTCTATGGTTAAAATGAATGCTCGAGCTCAACAAAACTCAATTATTAAAATGGGCCAGCTTTGACCCTTTGATTGATCAATTTGTACCCTATGGTATATAATTTCAAAGTGAGAATATGGGGATGCACAAAAAGAGTAGACAATTTGGAAAAAGAAACAAAAGACACCGACATATCACTTTATCCCTTTCTCATATGGTTACAACTTGCATCACACACACACACTGCCCTCTACCTTCCTACCTTTTTTATTAGCTGAGGAAGTTTCCACCTTTGGCCCCGTTTGTTTTTTCGATTTATTTCTTTTTCTAAGAATAAGATGTCAGAATGCAAATATATTACTACTTTTTCCGTTCTAATTTATGTAAAATTATTTGACTGGGCACAGAGTTTAAGAAAAAAATTGAAATTTTTTGGAATTTGTGGTCCTAAACAAGTCCAAATGGACCCAAAGTATTTGTGTGGTTATAAAAGCTTCTCATTAAGGGTAAATGTGTAACTTTAAGCTAAATTGTTACCAAATTTAGAAAGGGTTCATTCTTTTTGGAACGGACCAGAAAGGAAATAGGTTTACATAAACTGGAACAGAGGGAGTACTATCATCTATAAATTTTGAATATAGAATATAAAAAATATTTGCTTTCTCAATCTTTGAATATAGAATTTATTTTATTCAAAATTAATACATATAAAAAACAAATAAATATAAATTAATTGTTGCCGACAGACTGGAGGTTTGGAGACAGACTCTTGAGTCTACAGGTTTCAAGCTGAGCATGACCAAGATGGAGTACTTGGAGTTTAAGTTCGGCAAAGTTAACCAGAAAGCAGACAAAGGTGTGAGGCTTGATACACAGGTCATCCCCAGGAGAGAAAGTTTCAAGTACCTTGGATCTATAATACAAAGTAACGGAGAGATTGATGAGGATGTTAGACATCGTATTGGAGTAGGATGGATGAAGTAGAGACTCGTTTCCGTTGTCTTGTGTGATAAGAATGTGCGGCTGAGAGTTAAAGGTAAATTCTATAAGGCAGTAGTTAGACTAACTATATCATATCAAAGTGTTGGCCTGTCAAGAACTCTCATGTCCATAAGATAAAAGTAGTTGAAATGAGGATGTTAAGGTGGATGTGTGGGCATACCAGGTTAGATAAGATTCTTCGGGATAAAGTAGGAGTGGCCTCTATGGAAGATAAGATGTGGGAGGCGAGGTTGAGATGGTTCGGACATGTTAAGAGGAGAAACATTGAAGCCCCGGTTAGAAGGTGCGAGAGGTTAGCCTTGGTGGGTATCAAGAGAAGTAGAGATGGATCGAAGAAGCCTTGGAGAGAGCTTATTAGGCAGGAAATAGCGCAGCTGGAGCCGACTGAGGACATGGCCCTAGATATGAGGGTGTGGAGGTCGAAAATTAGGGTAGACGGCTAGTAGGTAGTCGAGCGTTTCTATTTGTCTTACTCAGTTCGCTAGCATTAATGTTAGTATGATATCTTTTTATTCATAGATTGCTATTACTATCTAGAATCTAATTACATTCTTGGCTTCAATCTTATTTTTATCTTGTTGTTAGTTCCTACTTGTTGCCATTACTTTTTTTCATCTGTTCTCCAGCCGAGGGTCTATGGGAAACAATCTTTCTGCCCTTCCAGAGTAGGTGTAAGGCTGCATATATCTTACCATCCCTAAACTCCACTTGTGAAATATCACTGAGTTTTTTATTGTTGTTGTCATCGTCTATTAAATATTAAAGAGAATATTAATTTATCCACACAAAAAAAGGATCTTAATTAACAGTGTTGCAGAAATTATTGTTTACTGAAGCATGCTCTAAAGCTAGCGAGAGTAGCAATTGATGGTGGTAGTAGTCGATCATGATAGTTATAAGGTGTTGGCTGGTTGATGGTGATAACTAATTATTATTAGTAATCTGTGTATCTAACCAGACAAATAGAGAAACTGGTTGATGGTGATAACTAATTATTATTAGTAATTTGTGTATCTAACCAGACAATTAGAGAAATAAAAAAATATTAGTTCAATAAAGCAAAACATAAAATAATTTTTGAACCCACAAGTTATTTGTGTGTCCTTAAGGAATTTAATCCCCTCAGTATTGCCTAAGGTTATGGATTACTTCCTCCCGGGATAGAACAGAGAAACTATTTAGTAATACTGAAAATCAAAATTACAGAACTTTCACAAACTCAATAAATGGAGCAAATCACACTTGACATGTATATGTTTGTTTTGGAAAAATATTGTAATAATATAGAGAAGAGAGGCGAAATTTTCAGATTTTTCTATGTATGATAATTGAGGTTAGACCTCTAAACTTATAGACAATGAAAGATTGAGATGAAGTGGTGCAATTCAAAGGTACCTCTTTCATTTCTCATTCATACCCATTCACAAAACCTAACAATTATGATGATTGTGCAAACATGTGGTGACAATGGTGGGTGAATATGACTAACTGATTGTACAGGATGGGTTAATGGTGGTTGTGTCACGGTGGCTTGGTTGTGTTATTGTTATTGATGATGGAGTTAGTTGGTGGTAGTGACTGGTTGTTAGTATCTGTATTCGAAAATATAATTTCTACAAAATAAAATGAAACCAGAAACAAAAGACAAAAGTAGAATCAGATGAATAACGTTCCGCGCCCAATAGAAAACTATGTTTCCTTAAGAAATTTAATACCCCCACTGTTGCCCAAGGTTGTTGGATTAATTCCTCTCAGGACAAAACAGAACAAATATCTTGTAATACCGGCAATAAAAATTACAAAACTTCGCCGAACTCAAAAAATGACAGTAAATCACACTGATGCTTACGTTTTACTTTTGAAAAACAATGCAGAAATACAAAACAGAGAGGGAGAATATGCAAATTTTGGTGGTCTGAAAGTGAGACCAAACCTCTGAATTTATAGCCAAACAATCTGGATTGAATAGGTGTGAAAGTACCTGTTCACATGAGGTACTGTTTCAGCAGAAAACTTTTCTATTTGATCGCGAATCAATCATATCAATTGACCGAATCCGATTTTGAAGTCGAAGCTGAGCCGCGCGAGCAACGACGATGACGTGAGACACCACTTCTTCTCAACTCTTTAAGAGCTAGAAGATATGATTCTCTATATAAGCACAAAGATTTTCTTTCCTTTTTCCAATAAGGGACAAAGTGCATTAGTAAAGGAAACACTTCAAATTTTTTGTTTTCCTCATTTTTCATTCACACCTCTTATTATATAAAACCCAACAATCCCCCACATGAATAGGGAATGGCTATCTAAAATATGCATGCATGAAAAACTATGTGATTTACAAGCAAGGATTAATTGCATCTGGATAAGTAGGTTTCCCTTTGAACTTTTTATAGTGAAATTATGTTGGATATACTCGGTCAATCTATAGATTTGATATCTTTGAACAATCAAACTTTGGTGTATACCTAGACAGCCATAAGTCACACAATCAACTCTTTAACCACTTTTGGTTCTTATTGTTGTGTTCGTTTCAGCCATGAACACCACCTGATTCATAAGTGCGTACAGATCTGGCCTTACAGAATTCTCCTTAAAGCGGCTTGCAATTTACACTTATATAGGTAATTCCTAAACGTGTTATCCCATAGATACATGATGTGTCGGAGAATTTCGGCACATTTAATACAAATTGCTTAGATTTTAGCTTGTTTTAAATGCAATTATCTTTTATACTTATATAATTTTAATGTTTTTGTAGTGTATGAGGTTTAAGGACCCAAGAACAAGGAAATGAAATCAAAAAGCTGCAAAAGGACAAGAAAAGAGCAAAACACGATTGCAGATGTAAAAATACAGACCGCAAATCCAACATGCGGACCGCATAGTGCTAAAAGGAATCACAAAGCCCAACAGTCTATTGGCCAAATTCAAGCGCAAGAAATGCGGTCCATTATGCGACCACATAACAGGTTTGCAGGTCATATAATGGATCACAAACTCTCTGTAGAAGTTGCTAAAGGTGGAAAATGCGGTGACAAATGTTATTGCAAATCAACAATGCGGATTGCATAACCTAAATGCGACGAATACCTGGGAACTAGGGTTTCGAAGATGCGATGGTTGTGACGAGAATGCGGACCGCATGTCTGTTATGCGACAGAAATGTGGTCGCATAATTAACCTGGAAGGGTATTTTTGTCCGAATTTGGTCCCGAATTTTATCCCACTATAAATAAATTTATTGGGATTTTGTGGAGGCATCTTGTCTTGTTTTTGAGCTACATTCCAACATTTGAATATTTCTCTCTTTTGGAAGCTTTAGGAGTGAAGAATCTTATACTTTATAAGCTTTATGGCATTTAATATTCTCATCTTTTTGTATTTTAGCAAGAGTAGCTAGCT